GAGAGGGGTCACACTTGCTGATCTGAAAGTTGAGATGAAACAGGGTGGCTTTTAGTTTGTCAAACCAGGCTCGTGGGGCTTGTTTAAGACCATAGATGGCTTTGTGAAGTTTGCAGACCAGGGACTTGTCCGAGGACTCAAAACCGGGAGGCTGGGACATGTAAACTTCTTCTTCAAGATTGCCATTGAGAAAGGCATTGTTGACATCCAACTGCTGAATGGACCAGTGATGGGTGAGAGCAAGAGTGAGAATTAGACGAATGGTAACTGGTTTCACAACCGGAGAGAAGGTCTCGGTATAATCAAACCCAAACTGCTGATGGAAACCCTTGGCAACCAGCCGAGCTTTGTGTTTGTGAACAGTTCCATCAGGGTTCTCTTTGATGCGAAATACCCACTTGCAACCAATGGCGGTTCTGTGGGAGGGAAGCGGTACAAGAGTCCAGGTGCCATTGGCCATTAATGCATTATATTCCTGCTTCATGGCAGCAAGCCAGGTGTCGCTAGCCAAAGCTTGTTTGGTATTCTTGGGTTCAAAGTGTGTGAGTAAAAGAGTGGGTTGCAGTCGAGGTTTGACAATACCTGCTTTAGCACGAGTAGTCATGGGATGAAGATTGATAGGGGGAGCCTCAACATGAGTGGGTAAGGAGGTGGAGGCAGAGGGATTGGGTGTGGGAGAGGTGTGACTAGGCTGAGAAGGTGAAGAATCAGTGAAAATTGGTGACGAGGGTGAAGTGTGAGAGGTAGAGGTAATAGGAGCCTGTGGATTGGTGACAACAAGAGGAACAGTGATGGATGAGGAGGATGGACTAGGAGTGGATGGTGAGAACAAGGTTGGGTAGGGAAAACGATTTTCACAAAATATGACATCTTTGGAAATGAAAACCCTACCAGATGGAGCAAGACATTTGTAACCCTTATGCGAAGTGGAGTAGCCTAAGAACACACATTCTTGAGAGCGAAATTGAAGTTTGGTTTTATTGTAGGGCCTAAGGTGAGGAAAGCACGAGCAGCCAAAGACACGGAGAAAGTTGTAGTCAGGGAGATGATGAAATAGTTTTCGGAAAGGAACATCCTGTTGGATTGAAGAAGAAGGTAGTCTATTGATAAGATAGACACTTGTTAGGAAAGCATAGTCCCAAAAATGCATAGGAAGGTGAGCTTGAGCAAGCAAGGTGAGGCCTAACTCAACAATGTGACGATGTTTGCGTTCCACAACACCATTTTGATGGTGAGTGTGGGGACAAATGATGCGATGATGAATACCATGTTGGGCCAGGTAAGAGGTGAAAGAGCGGAATTCGCCACCCCAGTCAGTTTGGATTGCTTTAATAGGCAACTGAAATTGATTTCGAACCATGGCGTGAAATTGTTTGAAAACATCAAGCGTATGAGCTTTGCTTTTGAGCATAAAAATCCAAGTAAACCGAGTGTGAGCATCAACAAATGTAACGTAATATTGGTAACCATTATCAGACAAAACAGGCGCAGGACCCCATAAATCACTGTAGATTAATTCAAAAGGAGTATGATAAACAGTTTTAGATAATTGAGAGGGTAATTTGTGAGATTTGCCAAGACAACATGAAGTGCAAAAATCAGAAACGCTTTTATTAATGTTGGGAAAGTTACACAGTTTGAATACAGATTTGAGTACATCATTATGGGGATGTCCCAGTCTAGAGTGCCAAGTGGCATAGGAAACAGATTGAGAGGAGACTGTGTGAGCAGAAGGTTGTCTTGGCGGAAGCAGAGATGGAAACTGATATAAGCCATCAGGACCAAGAACTCCATGGAGGAGAGTTTCGCTATTGGCCTGTGATTTAACCAAGCAAAAGGTGGAGTGAAATTCAAAGAAAACAGAGTTATCCTTACAAAATTGACTCACACTAATCAGATTTTTGGTGATAGTGGGAACATAAAGGAGATTATGAAGAGTGAGAGAAATGTGAGGGTTGAGAGGAGAAGAGAAATGAGTAACACCTGAGGAGTTTATGGGGATACCTTGGCCATTGCCAATTACAATCTGATCCGGCCCTTCAAAAGGGGTGTATTGTTGTATATTGTGAGATACGTTCGTAACATGATTGGAAGCGCCAGAGTCAGGATACCATATATTTGCACCCGATGATGGAGAAGGCATTGCCAAAGCTGAAGGTGGGGCGTGAAGATTCCCAGGAGAGACAAGATAGGCTTGGGATGTGTTAGGGTTGGGTGGTCGAGGCCCCAAAATTCCATGGGAGAAGCTAGCAGGGTGAGGTGCAGATTGAGGTTGAGACGGGGAGGTAGTGTAGCCAAAAACAGGGTGAGTGATGGAGGTGTTGGCGGGGAAGAAGTTGTCAAGGGGTAAGGTGGGAACAAAGTTACTATCAAATCGATAATAACAAGTAGAGGCAATGTGACCATAGCGATGGCAAACCTGACATTGAGTACCAGAAAACCTGACACGGCCACGGCCATAGCGGTGGTTGGATCGGCCATCGCGCCCACCGCGTGCACCAGGTCGACCACCACGGAAGGAGGGGAATTGAGAATCTTGATGGGCAAGATTGGCTTGGGGTTGCGAGGCAGGGGTGTTAGAGCTAGAAGAGGATTCAAGAAGATTGACGGAGATAAGATTCTTCTTCTTGAATTTCTCAAGGCGGGATTCATGGGCAAGAAGGAGGGTTTCAACCTCTTCGATGGACAAAGCATCAAAGCGGCTGCTGATTAGGGAGACCGTGGACTCATATTCTTCTGGTAGGCCTTCAAGAACAATGTCCAAATGTTCTTTGGAGGAGACAGAGTCACCAATGGCTGAGAGAGAGTCAACTAGGGTCTGAATGCAGAGAAGATAATCGGAGATGGTTTTACTGGGGCAGCTTGAAAGTGCGGTGGTTCTGTTTCGTCGGCCATGAGGAGAGAGCGGCAGCGAGAGGAAGGGGACAGAGAAAGAGGGGAGGAGGGATGAAAAGGAGAAGACGAAGGAGGATCGATGAGCTCTATGATACCATATTGAATAACAGAATGAATTATGATAATAGAATTGAGAGAACAGAGAGAGAGAATTGGTGAAAGCTATTTAGTAGAGAAAGAGATAATATTTGCACTAACTAATTAACATTACAACTTGTCTATTTATATGTATCTATAGCTTCAAAAGGAAGCTAATGATACAATGACCTGTTGAGCAGGTAACCTAACCAGAAAACAGAAAAAATAACTAACAGATAGATAACCAACTAATACAATGCGAAGGAGTAAAGATATACTCCAATAGAGATTGAAGTAATTCCCAAAGCCCAACTATCTATGCACAATATAGTGGGGTTCACATCTAGGAGATCTCTCAAGGTGTGGGGGCAGATTGGAGAGGCCAAAGTAGTGGTTCTGGTGGATTATGGGGCTACTCATAACTTCATCTCCATGGAGCTGGTGGAAAGGTTGGGGCTGTCGGTCAAAGATACTTCTTCTTATATGGTGGAGGTGGGAGATGTATGCAAAATTAAGAGTAACGAAGTATGTGAAGGAATCAAACTTCAAGTACAAGATTTTACAATTATAAAAGACTTTTTTCATGTTTGGATTGGGAGGAGCAGATGTAGTTTTGGGACTAGAATGATTGGCTGGACTAGGAGATTTCAGGGCAAACTTCGATAAATTGATATTCACAGTAAAGGTAGGGGGGAAGACATGAACATTGAAAGGAGAGAATCCGAATTAACTAAGTCTATTGCTTTAGTGAAAATCATTGAAGGGGCACTACGAGATGAGGGTCTAGGATTTGTGGTGGGCTGTCATATAATAGAAGAAGTTCAATGTCAGAGTACCATGATCCTAGATAAGGTGCATGCTGTAATGGATGAATTTAAAGGCATTTTTCAAGAATCAGAAGGTTTGCCTCCTAATAGAAGACAAGATCATACCATTGTGTTGAAACCAGGAGATACTACTCCAAATATTAGGCCCTACAGGTATCCCTACTACTAGAAATCAGAAAATTGAGAAATTGGTTAGAGAGATGTTATCAGCTGGAATCATTAGACCTAGTATCATCAGTCCATATTCTAGCCCGGTAATATTGGTGAAAAAAAAAGACAGAAGTTGGAGATTTTGTGTGGATTATAGAGCCTTAAATAAAATTACCATCCCCAATAAATTTCCCATTCCTATTATAGATGAATTATGAATTTTATTGCTGTAACGATTTTCTGGTATTCGAGAGACCTGACTCTCCACAAATAATGACTTTCCTAAAATGCCCCCTTATTCACCACTTTATACTTGCCCATTTACTACCAATACATATGTTATTCTGTTACAATTTAATCCTCTACACGCTGCCTATTTCTCCTACTGTACACCCTCCTATATCTATCAGAATCACTTGTGAGTAAGATACAATGGGAGCCTAATGAGTTCCTATATTCTCCAATGTTTGATGGGATACTAGATAATATCTTAGGTTGTATGTCATCCAACTTATGTTTGAGGAGGATAGAATAATGTCCAAATATGATATAAAATATTTGTAAATTACAGTTTTACCCTCTCATTAGAATAAAATGCATTTTTTTATATTATATAAAATTATCTTTAGTATTTTTTTTATAAAATTTTCATACATTATTTAATTGTAAACATTATATAAAAGATGAATGAAACAATACCTAAAATTTTACAATAATTAGGTAGTATGAGGAGCTAATCATATCCAATGGGTGCACCAAACAACTAATTAAAGCAAGATATGATTGTTTGTCCTATCTTCTTGCCACCAAATGGGCTCTAAGTTTTCAATAAAATTCTTTCATTTTTTATTTTTGCACCTGATTTCTTTCAGTTTTTATTTTTTATTTTTTATTTTTTATTTTATAATAATTTTCTCTTGTAGTAGTTTTCTTTTGGAGTATTATTTATCCTCCTTTCTATGCTTCTCCTTTATTATTAAATATCTTTTCCTATAAAAGAAATGTTTTTATCTTTAGTTTTTAATCTTTTTATGCATTTTCCTATTACAGCCTGTTCAAGAACCAAAAAAGATGACACAAATAATTGTAGATGCATTAGAGATCACTGGACAGAGGGGCATCATAAATAAAGGATGGGGAGGTCTTGGGAATTGTAAGAATTTTTTTTTTTTTTTTTTTTTCTTGTGGGAATAATTTATTAGTTGTGTTTTATTTTCAACATTATATGTTTCTTCCCAGTGGCAGAACCAAAGGACTCTATATACTTATTGGATAATTGCCCTCATGATTGGCTTTTCTTACGTTGCAAGGCAGTGGTAAGATTATCTAGTTACTCTTAGTCCTTCCAATCTAGTAGTAAAAATCTCATTGAAATATCACAATTAAACATCATAATTCTGCCGAATTTTTAAATTCTTTAAGTTTGTTGATGTTTTAACTTTGTTTGACTATCATGGCCTACTTGCTAAAGCCTGCTGGTTTGAATATGGAAAAGTCCGTTGGGCATAGGCCTTACATAACCTTGCTTTTTACTGGAAATTATTATAGGCTAATATGCTTCAGTGTTGCTGGAGAGCATCATTTTTTTCAGTTGGCTTAAACAACTCTTTCTGTTTATTGAAATTCTTTTACTTGGTAACAAGCATGGTTTGAAATGCATAAAATAACATAGGTTGAGGGGAGAGCGGGGGAGGTTGAATTGTGTTTTCAAAAACTTAAGCTTCTTTTGGTTAGAACTGAATAAGCTCAGAGCTGTTCAAAAGGTGTTTGGTCAGAATAAGTTTTTGTTGAGTTCAGAACGATTCTTACCAGTTTCTTTTTAAACAATTGTTTGCTCAGAACAAATTTTCAACTTCGTTGAAACAATTAAAAGATTTTCTGAAACAGGATTTAAAACATATGTAGGTTGTTGCTGTTGTGTGTAATCTTTCCTTGGTGCAGACTCTTGAAAGTCTCCTTTACTTCATTCTGATGTTCCACATCAGATATTCTCAAGGACATGTGTCAGCTTTCAAGAAATTGCATCTTCAAATACTGTCAGCTTCAATTGATGAAACCTTGGTCATTGTGATTTATGTGGAAAATGTGATGTTGCTTCCTGCACTGAACTGATGTTGCTTACTCTGGTCTCCTGATGAAACCTTAGTATGTGTGAATCATACAGAAAACATGTTTCATCATTCTGATGTTTCATTATGATGTATATATCTCAAAATCTTTAATTGTCTAGATTCTAGTTTAGCTTAATAAAATCATTTTTTTTTATGTTTTCATTCTTAGAATCCGTCAACACTTCATTTTGATGTTGACTCTAGTACAACTTCATTCTAATCCTTTGATTAATCTTGAGTGAGACCTTCTTGATGTCCTTGCAACTTGCTAAGATCCAGGTCTCCAGAGGAAGCACTAACTTCATCATTCAAATGGGGACTTCATTAGATATTTCTGAGACTTCTCTCCTAATGCTTCGTTGAGACATCCATACTGAGTTTGTTTCGAACTCGACAAAAAACTTGCTCTGATCTGCTCTTTATATATATTTCTCTGAAACACTTAACAGATTTATTAGTCATCATAACATAAGCTCCATCATCCTAACAATTTGCATTGTTAATGGTTTGTTATAATTAAAACAGCCTGGGATCTGGATTCATCATTGTTTTCATTAACTCCCCCTATGATATGGGACAACCATTCCGTAGCAAATCATTGTGATGGAAGAACCCAAATTCAAATGATCCCCATATTTTTTGGATACAATATGAGTATTCTTATATTGTTGGACACAAGTCTCATAATTTGCAAATGGATCCTAACATTCCTTTGTACTATGCATGCTTGGTATTTGTTGTTGAGTATAATTATTGTAGTTAATAGAGTTATTTTTATTTTTAATTAACTTGTACGCATTCTTAGACTCTTGAGAATTGTACAATTTTTAGGTTCTTGAGATTCAAGAATTAAATGTAATGGGACTAATGATTATCCTATAGAGTAATCATTAGATTAGAAATAAAATTCAGTTTCTTATTCCAATGTGGATGATCTGCCTCCCTGCTGAACGGACGCCCTGTAGGAAATGGAAATTTGGTTTTTAAATTGGGTGAGACAACTTCTGATTCTGACCATACAAATACCAGTTCAACCCCATTCCTTAGTTGTTGTCCCGCTGTCTTCCCTATGGGCAGTTCTACTTTGCATGCCGATTGGATATTTTGCTACCGTATCTTTGGGTTGTGAATTCTCACCCAAGTTAGGATGTCCTCTTTCAATCTCTCTAAACATATTACCAACATATTGTTGCTCAGGTTGATTGGGAACCAAGGACGGAAATTATGTGAACTCTTCAACATACTCATGAACCATACTCTTCTATTGCAAGGAAGCTAGCTCTCATATGGGTTATGAATTTCTACCCCACTGAAATTCTCCATTAGCTCCAAGGTGAAGGTGAACCATGGCAATTCTGGCTAAATTTCAATGAGATTAGTGAACCAATAGTGGCTGTTCCTTTCATGATATCCTAAACCAATCAAACTTTCACAGCCTCCTAGGTCTCATTTACCAGAAAATTCATCACTACTCTAGTAAGCCATCCGTGTGGATCATTTTCGTTTAACACCAGCAAGTATGCTCTTTTTGTTGTTGTTGAGAAATCATCAACATTCCTAGCAGTGGATTGATGTTCAGGGCTTCCTTTTTCATCAATTTGGAATTCCCCTCGACTTTGTTCTCATTCATTGGCATATGTTCTAAGCATCACACCAAAGAGGTGATGTATTTGCAAATTTCAGAATTGATCCCTAAAGTTAAAAGGGTAATGCAAAAAGGGGCATCAAGCTTGTGGGATACTTTTACAACCATTAGTTGACTTTGAACACCATGAGGAAGTGTACAAATGAAACCAGATTGGTGAGACATGTAGTTACAAGATTAGCTACCACCTATCTCACTTTGCAGAGATTGCATAAGAAAAGACCAATCCTAGAAGGATATTCACTTCAAAAGAATGGTTGAAGTCAAAGGCAACCAAAGAACATAAGTGAAGGAAAGAGCAATGAATGTTGTTCTTATGTCTACATTTTGGATGTTGTTGCCTACACTTTAAAGGCTATGGAGCCTATTGTACGTGTGTTGAAGTTGATGGATATTGAAAAATAACCCTCAATAGGCTAGGCTATATTTATGAAGCTATGGATGAGGACAACAAGGAAATTCTAATTTCATTCAACTATGATGAATAGAAGCATAAAGGTATAGTTATTCATAAAAGATGGGATTTCCAACTTCACCACCCGTTGCATGTAGCAATATATTAAATAAAACCTGAGTTCTTTTATAGCAATCCAAAAATTGACAAAGATGTTGAAGTGGTGGATGACCTCTACAAATGTATTTGATAGGCTTAGTGAAAAAAAAAATTGTTGACAACATTCAAACTCAGTTGCTAATGGAAATGTAAACTTAACTAACATTCTTGACTTTAAAATTATTATAGATTTAATCGAAGAAGAGAAGGCTTGAGCACCAAAAACTTCAAGACTTTAAACAAGCTCTTAAAGAATGTTGAGTGTTGGGATGTAATTGATCCTACTATGTTAAATGGCATTAATGATAGTAATGAGTGAATATTGTGAGATTTGGATGAAGATGAGTTGGTTTTTGATGTTGCTAGGGAAATTGAGCCTAGCAAACCTTTTAAACACACTAGGAGACAACCACAACTAAAGGAAGCAACAACAATTGCATTTACATTGAGGAAAGAAAAAGGAATAAGAGTGGTGGAAGCGGTGGAAGAAGAGGGTTTCGATGAATAAAGTGAAGATGAAGAAAAGGAAAAGTATAATTGTAATGCTGGTGGTAGTGAGGAAGTTAAAGGAGAGGATGACTTGAATCTTGATGAGGTTGTAGTGGAGGAAAAGTATAATTCTAATGTTGCCTTTGTCTATTTTGAATTTTAATGTTTATTGTCAAAATATATTTTAGAAAGTTTTAGATATTATTCATACTATATTTTAATTCTTTATATTTGTTATTGTTAAGATAATTCTATAAGATATAGTTTAGATTTAGTTTATCTTTTTTTTATTTCTAGTTTAGTTTCCTTAGTCAGATTTATCTTAACCCTAAACTTTAGGGATTAATTATGTTTCATGCCTATTTATTTTATTGTACCCATCAATTCAGATGAAAAATGAATATTATTCAGTTTCAAGTTGGTAACAGAGCAGTCTGGTCTAGGAACCCTGAACCCTAATCATGCCGCCACCAAGGCATCTAGGGTTTTTAGACTTTTGTCAGCAGTTGTCGGAGTTGACGTCACCTGAGTGTTCAGAGGTTGCTGATTGGCCTTTCCGTCGCCAACCGCCTCTAGACCGGTGTCTCATGCACTTTCACGCGCGATTTTCGTCGGAGAAGCTCACCGGCGCGTGGGGTTCATGCGCCGCCCTCTAGGCCTCCGTTTGTGACGTCGTTTGCTCCATTGGACTCGTCGGCCCTCCCTCTTCTCGTTTCAACCCTTTTCAGGTTGTGGGTCACACTCTAGGTGGTCGTTTGGTTGCTGCCACGGTATTTCGAGATTATTTGGTTGTTGTCTCGGAGGTCTTTCAGCATTGTTTGGAGGTGTTTTTGTTGTTATTCTCCTTTTTCTCTTCATGGCAAAGATTCCTAAGAATGGCACACCTTCTAAGGAGAATCCAAAAACTGAATCTTCCAAAAGGGAGCTAGTCTCCTTTGCCTTTTCTAGATCACCTACTATCACATCTGAAAAATTGAACAATAAAAATTATGTGGATTGGTCCACTGCTGTTGAGGTGTGGTTTTTAGGCCAGGGTCTATGATCATCTTACTAAGAAAGCGTCTGAGGTTGATAAAGAGGTGAGAGATGAATGGCAGCGAGCAGATTATGAACTTGTATCTTTATTGTGGCAGTCCATTGAGCCTAAATTAATGGTGCACTTTCGTCCATTCAAAATATGCTGATATTTGGAAGAAGGCCCAAAAAGTCTATGCTAATGATATTCAGATATTGTATGAGTCTGTTCGTGGTCTGGCAACCCTTCGTATGGTTGATAATGATTTTCCATCGTATTTGAATCGTGCTCAATCCATTATTGATGTGCCCAAGCTAATGTTGGTTAGTGATGATCTTCAGCAAATGTTAAGCAAGCTTGATAATATGTTTATGGTGTTTGTCCTTCCTAGCCTTCACAAAGATTATGGATCTGTTCGAGATCAAATTTTGACAAATCCTGTCATTCCTACAATGGAAGAGGTCATAGATCGATTGATTCGAGTCCCTTCACCGAAGGCAGAACCTCACACAAAATTTGAGTCCTTTGCTTTTATCTCTAGTACAACTGACCGTGGAAGTCGAGGGTATGGTCGAGGTCGTGGTCGTGGTAAAGGGGGTAGAGGAAACTTCTATTGTACCTACTGCCAAAAAGATGGACATACATGAGACATGTGTTATTCCTTGCATGGCTTTCCAAGTAAGACAATTAATGTGGTTCAATCTCTGACTTCGGCTCTAGAAGTCAAGATTGAACCTGAGGGCAATCATCCAATCACATTATCTGCCGATGATTATAAAGAGTATCTTCAACTGAAGGCAACTAAAGATGCCCCTTCCGCTATCATTGTTGCTCACACCGATAATTCTATAGTCTGTCTCTCTCATTCTACGTCTATTGGACCTTGGGTTTTGGACTCCGGTGCTTCTGATCACCTAACTGGTAATGTCTCCCTTTTCCCTAACCTATCATCACCTAAAACTCCACATCATATCACTCTTGCAGATGGGTCAAAAGTCCAAGTCACTGGTATTGGCCAAATATCACCTCTCCCATCACTACCATTAAAATCTGTTTTACTAGTTCTTGGATGTCCCTTTAATTTAATTTCTATAAGTAAGTTGACTCGGTCACTAAATTGTGTCATAACATTCACTTCTGATTCTTTCTTGATACAGGACCGGAGTACGGGACAGATGATTGGAGCCGGATCTGAATCACATGGTCTCTACTACCTTTAGCCTTCTATCTCTACCATATGTGCATCTATTGAGTCTCCTGGTTTAATCCATCGTCACCTGGGTCATCCAAGCTTGAATAAATTAAAGAAAATGGTACCTCATCTCTAATGGTTGGAGTCCTTAGAGTGTGAGTCGTGTCAATTAGGGAAGCATGTTAGAGCTTCTTTTGCTAATAGTATTAATAGTCGAGCTATGTTTCCTTTTGATGTTATTCATTCTGATGTTTGGGGTCCTAGTCGTGTACCTTCTCTTTTAGGGCATAGGTATTACGTCACTTTTATTTATGATTTTTCTAGATGTACTTGGATATTTTTAATGAAAAATTGTTCTGAGTTATTCAATATTTTCCTAAGTTTCTATTCGGAGATCAAAACTCAATTTGGCAAAGTAATTCGGATTTTACGAAGTGATAATGCTAAAGAATATTTTTCATATTGCTTCAAATCATTTATGGATTCTCATGGCATTCTACATCAATCTAGTTGCCCTCATACACCTCAACAAAATGGTGTAGCTGAGCGAAAACATAGACATATTGTGGACACTGCTCGTACTCTTTTATTGAATGCCAATGCACCCCCAAAGTTGTGGGGCGATGTTGTCCTCATTACAGGATATTTAATAAATCGAATGTCATCTTCTGTCTTGAATGATCAAGAGATTCCCTATTATACCCATTGGATCCCCTTTACTCTGTTCATCCTCGTGTCTTTGGTTGTACTTGTTATGACCATGATCTTTTCTCAGGACGTGCTAAGTTGTCTGCTCGGGTCATCAAATGTGTGTTCTTAGGATACTCCTGGGGGTACCGTTGTTACTCTCCTGCTACGCATCGATTTTACACCAGTGCAGATGTCACTTTCTTTGTAGATACACCATATTTTATTGTTACAGATGTCTTTCCGGTTGACTCAGATCTCCTCTCTCAGGTATTGTATATTCCTCATTTTAATCATAGTGTGCCTTCTACCACACCTGTTACTTTAGAGACACCAAATCCTCTCACACTACCAGGGTCTGACCGTCTTCTACACCGATTTGGGATAATCTATGAGCGTTGATCACATACTGTTGTTCCTCCTAGTGATTCTACAATTGAGGCATGTGATTCTACTCTTGTTCCAGTCTCCTCACCTACTCTGGCCCCACCTACCTCAGTTGACTTGCCCATTGCTCTTCGTAAAGGTAGTCGTTCTACTTGTAATCCTCATCCTATTTATAACTTTCTTTCATATCATCGTTTGTCCGCTACCTATTATGTTTTTGTCTCTACTATTTCCTCTATTATCATTCCCAAGACAGTACAGCAGGCCTTAACCCATCCAGGATGGCGACAAGCAATGATTGATGAGATGACAGCTTTAGACTCCAACCACACTTGGGTACTTGTCCTACCTCCGCCTGAAAAATCTGTTGTTGGTTGTCGGTGGGTATTTAATGTTAAAAGTGGGCCCTGATGGACAGGTGGATAGATTGAAAGCTCGTCTTGTGCCTAAGGGATACACACAACTATATGGTTTGGATTACAACGACACTTTCTCTCCAGTTGCGAAGATGGCCTCAATTTGTCTCTTCTTAGCCATGGCTGCTATGAGGCATTGGCCTTTGTTTCAATTAGACATCAAAAATTCCTTCTTACATGATGATTTGGAGGAGATTTATATGGATCAACCTCCCGGGTTTGTTGCTCAAGGGGGGTTTGGTCTTGTATGTAAATTGCAAAAGTCATTGTATGGCCTCAAACAATCACCTCGTGCTTGGTTTGGTCGGTTTAGCAAAGTTATACAGGAATTTGGAATGATCCACTACGAGGCAGACCACTCTGTCTTCTTTAGACACTCATTGACACAGATTTGTCTATCTTGTTGTTTATGTAGATGATATTGTGATTACAGGTAATGATCAGGAGGGCATCAAGGCTCTGAAGCAACACTTATTTAAACACTTTCAAACTAAGGATTTAGGTCCCCTACGTTATTTCCTTGGGATTGAGGTCGCTCGGTCAAAGTCCAGTATTGCTATTTCTCAGAGAAAATATGCCCTTGATATTCTAGAGGAGACCGCACTTACAGATTATAAGCTAGTTGACACTCCCATGGATCCTAATGTGAAGCTTATGCCTAATCAGGGGGAGCCTTATCCTGGCCCAGAGAGATATTGGAGATTAGTGGGAAAATTGAATTATCTCACCATGACCAGACCTGTTATATCCTTTCCTGTCAGTGTTGTAAGTCAGTTTCTTAACTCTCCCTGTGAGAGTCATCGGCATGCAGTTTTTCGAATCTTTAGATACATTAAAAGATCACCAGGAAAAGGATATGTTTACAATGATAGAGGACATACAGACATTGTTGGATATTCAGATGCAGATGCAGATTGGGCAGGTGATGCAAGTGATAGACAGTCAACATCAGGCTATTGTGTCTTCATGGGTGGTAATCTTGTCTCATGGAAGAGTAAAAAGCAAAGTGTTGTTGCACGATCAAGTATAGAAGCAGAATACCGTGCTATGGCTCACACCTCAAATGTAAAGTTTATAAGAATGAACATCTGTTGATGGTCCGATAGCGGCCTGATAATTATAGCCTAATGAGCCCAACCACAATTTTTAGGATAGGCTATGATATCATCTTAAGAAAATAGTTTCAGTTTAATTCAACCTTACAAAATTGACTTTTAAGGTGAGAATTGTTTCTCACTTATGTACACTAATTAGGCTATACCACTAATCAATGGTTTATTTCCAGGACTATTTATATTGAAATTAATTATCAATTTGTTTGGAAAAAAGTTATTTTTTAAAGAACCCATCACAGCTCTATGACTGTGTGAGTACTGTACTGAGATCAGTCAAAATAACTGATCACTTGGGTTAGTTGTCTGTTTCTTAATTAGGTGATTTAGATCTCTGTTGTGTTGTAATCAGTTGAGTTAACATCCAATTAGGTTAGTTTGTTGTTATAATAATATCCTAATATATACATAGGGTGTAACAGAAATATTGCACACAATAACAGAACATCATTTTCCCAAATCTGTTTAAGCAGATAAATCTAGGTTTCGCAAGTATAGTCATCAAAGGAAAATACAGTGTGAATAATCTATTTGCAGGTTTTTATTGTTATACCGTTACCCATTTTTTGCAGGTTCATCATGGAGGTGCTGGAACAACAGCTGCGGGGCTTAAAGCTGCTGTAAGAAATTTATAGCTTTACAAATCCTTTAAAATTATCATATCTTCTGTTTCTGCTTTTAACGTTGGTATTTTTCTTAGTGCCCAACAACCATAGTTCCTTTTTTTGGCGATCAACCATTTTGGGGTGACAGAGTACATGCTAGAGAAGTTGGTCCTCCACCTATCCCAGTTGATGAGTTTTCGCTTCCCAAGTTGGTTGATGCAATAAAATTCATGCTAGATCCTAAGGTAAATATCAGTTTCCTGAAAAGAAAAAAAAAATATGCAAAAGACAATAGAGAGGAGCTTGCATTTTATAAAAGTAATAATGAAGCTCGAGTCTTTAAATGATATGAATATAGACTACAAACTATAAATATGTGAAATATTCTCGTAAAATCAAGCTTGAGAAATAGTGAAATAGACGCAGTTGTGTTGTTACTCGAGTATCTTTTGCACCTTAAAAACATGTTTAAAAGGGAAAATGAACTGTTGAACTGTGCTTATAGTGAATAATAAATAATATACTACTGTTGAGATTGTGGATGATTAATGTATATTATCTTATGTTTTAATTTTCTATTATTTGTGTATATATTATAGTAACGATTGCTGTATTTAGGAAGGTCTGTTGTATCATAGAATATCTGATTCACGTCTACTAGATTTAGGATAAATCTTTCCTATTTTTCATTTTCCTTGTATTTTTTATGGTACTGCCTTCACCCACTCTTGTGCTTGTGGGAGATATTAGAGTATTAAACTTAAATAAATGTATTTTCATTTTTTTTGTTACCATAGTTTCGACCTCTTTGGGGGCTTTCTTAATAGCAACCTAAAGGATGGTGTTTAGTTCCATATTGACTAGAGATATGACTTAAGTAGAGTTTATAAAGATTGGATAGTCCTCACCTTACAAAGCAGTTCCAGAAATTGAGTTAGGCTCTAAGCCCAAATTCTAATATGATCTGAGAATCTATTCTAGATCTATTGTTGGGTCACCTGCATTTACCATCTGATAGGCGCTTAATTCAAGGAGACAGCCCAAATGTATTTTTGTCCAATAATCATCCTAAGCCTCTAATTTGTAAAGTATACAAGAGAAAGAAAAGAGAGGAGCAATCAGTAGTAGCCAGCTGGCATAGAAGGTTTGGTGTGTGAGCATAATTTTGTTCTATAGGAATTGTTGAGGAGCGAGAGGAGGGAATCTTTTGGGTGGTTTTGTGATAGAGGCATTTGTGCACTTTGAGAGGAGCTTTGTTGTGGGCAGAGATTTATTCAATTCTCTGAATAATGGTTTTTGATTCAGCAAATAATACATATTTCAACATCTCTCTTTATCATTTTCAATCCTCTCTTCTAATTCCTTTACATTCATCGATTTGTTTCTGGCTTCCTAACAAATTGGTCCAACCTGCCAGATCTCGTCGTATGCCATTGTTCTAATTCATTCCGTAACCAGTGTAATGACTATATTTTGAATGCCACCAAAGAAGATGGAAAACAAAGTCTCAGCCATAGAAGAAGCCATGTCAGATTTTCATAATATTCTCGCAGAACTACGAACATTGACGGTTGAAAACAAGGAAAAACTTGATTCCATCCTTACCAAGGAATCAGAGGATGGCGGAAGCTCTATGCCCAAGAAGAAACTAGTGAAGGATCAACGCGAGACCAATTGGTCCAAGCTCGACGGAGATTCATTGGAGGAATTTCGAAGAAAGTTGAGTTGCCGATGTTTGATGGAGAAGATCCCGCTGGTTGGATTGTTAGGGCGGAGGTGTATTTCGAGGTGCAAGGTACTCGACCTGAGGTGAAAGTAAATTTGGCCCAGTTGTGAATGGACGGGCCAACTATTCATTTTTTTGGATCCGTAGTAGAGGTCAGAGAAGAGTTAACATGGGAGAAGTTCAAAGTTGAGCTACTGGAAAGATATGGAGGAATCGGTGACGGAAACATTTTCGAGCAGCTTACGGCACTTCGACAAGATGGAGACATTGAAGATTACATCCAACAATTTGAGAGATTGATCGTCCAGGTTGGTCGTCTTCCTGGGGAACAATATATTGGGTATTTTGTCCATGAGCTACATGATGGAGTAAGGGGGAAGGTACAGAGCTTGCGTGCTCTTGGGTCGTTGCCTCGCACTCATTTTCTTAATGTTACCAGAGTTATGGATTTAGAAACAAATGAGATGAAAGGGAACTGGGCTGGGTCGCGACAGTTTGGCCCTAATACCTTACTTGGGTCTGGGTCACGACATAGAGTCGGGTTGCATGAATCAGGTAAAGGCGGAATGGGTGATTGGGTCTATGTAAAAGGAGGG